CTCCTGCTCTGCTCTGCTCCTGCTCCTGCTCCTGCTGCTCCTGCTCTGCTCCTGCTCTGCTCCTGCTCTGCTCCTGCTTCTGCTCTGCTCTGCTCCTGCTTCTGCTCCGCTCCTGCTCTGCTCTGCTCTGCTCCTGCTCCTGCTCCTGCTCTGCTCCTGCTCCTGCTCCTGCTCCTGCTCCTGCTCCTGCTCTGCTCCTGCTCCTGCTCTGCTCTGCTCTGCTCCTGCTCCTGCTCCTGCTCTGCTCTGCTCCTGCTCTGCTCTGCTCCGCTCCTGCTCTGCTCCTGCTCTGCTCCTGCTCCTGCTCCTGCTCTGCTCTGCTCCTGCTCCTGCTCCTGCTCTGCTCCTGCTCCTGCTCCTGCTCCTGCTCTGCTCTGCTCCTGCTCTGCTCCTGCTCCTGCTCCTGCTCCTGCTCCTGCTCCTGCTCTGCTCCTGCTCCTGCTCCTGCTCCTGCTCCTGCTCTGCTCCTGCTCCTGCTCCTGCTCCTGCTCCTGCTCCTGCTCTGCTCCTGCTCCTGCTCCTCTGCTCCTGCTCCTGCTCCTGCTCCTGCTCCTGCTCCTGCTCCTGCTCCTGCTCCTGCTCTGCTCCTGCTCCTGCTCCTGCTCCTGCTCCTGCTCCTGCTCCTGCTCCTGCTCCTGCTCCTGCCCCTGCTCCTGCTCCTGCTCAGGAACCTGCCCCGCAGCACAACCCTCCTGGTGCCGGCTCCTCTCGTGAGCTTTGCCTGCGGCAGCGCTGAGCCAAGCCCTTCGTGCCCCTCGGGCTCCTCCATGTGTGTCATGCACGGGTTCCTCCTCCTGGTGCTGCTGCTGTGAGGCTGCTCCTTGTGCTCCAGCTGCCTCGGCCAAATCCCCCTTCCATAGAGCAGCTTGCTCCAAGCCCCTGTGTCCAGCCTGGCCTTGAGCACTGCCAGGGATGGGGCAGCCACAGCTTCTCTGGGCACCCTGTGCCAGCGCCTCAGCATCCTCCCAGGGAAGAGCTTCTGCCTAAGAGCTCATCTCAGTCTCCCCTCGGGCAGGTTCAAGCCATTCCCCTTGGCCTGTCCCTACATCCCTTGTCCCAAGCCCCTCTCCAGCTTTCCTGCAGCCCCTTCAGGCACTGGAGCTGCTCTCAGGTCTCCCCTTCAGGAGCCTTCTCTTCTCCAGGCTGCCCCAGCCCAGCTCTCTCAGCCTGGCTCCAGGGCAGAGCTGCTCCAGCCCTCGCAGCAGCTCCGTGCCCTCCTCTGGACCCGCTCCAGCAGCTCCCGGTCCCTCGTGTGCTGTTCCCCGGAGCTGGATGCAGGATTCCAGGCTCCCCTCAGCTGCTCGGGCTCCGGGGCTCCTGGAAGCGCAGTCCCAGCCCTGCCCGGGAGGGGTTTTCCAGCGTGACTCAGCTGGAGCCGGCATCTTCCTGTGGCTCCTGCCCACGGGGTGGTTTCCAGAGCGGGCTCTGGGCAGAGGTCACGCTCAGCGAGCCCAGCTCCTGAATTCCAGCCCCGGGAGCAGGCTCCGGAGCTTCCCTCCCCTCTCCCCCCGTGCCTGGGGCTCTGCTCCCCGCGGCCCGGGGCAGCGCGCCCTTACCCCGGGGCAGTTCCTGCGAGCCCCCGTGGTGCTGGGGAGCCGCCTCCTGCTTCCCCGTGGCTCACGGGGTGAATCCCCGCTGAGTCAGAGCCGGAGGCACCGCTCATCCCCAGGAGCCGCCCCTCATGCACGGAGCCGGCTTTGGGCAGTTCCTGGAGCTCCACCCGGGATCCGCAAAGCCACCAAGGGCCCCTCCACACCCCCGGGGCTGGGTCTCGCCCTGGGGCCATGGAGCCCCCCGGTCCCATGCGGGTGTTACCCCTGTAAGACCATGGCCCCACGAGCCCCTTCCCGTGTGCCTGGAAGGTTCTGCTCCTTCTAGGAAAGGCGGCATTGAGCAACGCAGCCATCCTCACCCGGGGGACGCTTCCTGCCCTGTGCAATGGCTCTGCGCTGGGGTTCCAGGGCAGCTCAATGGTGTTCCCCATGCGTGGTCCTGTCCCCCGTGTCCCGCAGCCTGAGGCTGTTCTCCTTAACCTGCTGCTCCCAGGTTCCACGAGTTCTGCATCCGGGGCTGGTGCATCGTGGGCAAGAAGCAGACGTGTCCGTACTGCAAAGAGAAGGTGGATCTCAAGAGGATGTTCAGTAACCCGTATCCTTTCTCCTCGCCTTGCGAAGGGCACGCGTGGGGTTTGGGATGTGCCACGGGTTCAAGGGAGCTGAAAGCTCCTCCAGCTCCAGCCCCCGGGGGCACCTTCCCCTGGAGCAGCTTTGCTCCCAGCCCCTGTGCCCAGCCTGGCCTTGAGCACTGCCCGGGATGGGGCAGCCCGCTGGAAGACTGCCTCCATGTTCCCATGGGAATGAGCCTCCTCCGGGCCGGGGGGGAGCCGGGTCCTGCCTCCCCCCGGCTCCCATCCTCATGGAGGCGCAGGGCCGGCTCCTCGCCTGGATCCCGGTGCTCGGCTCCTCTCTCCGCGGCTCTTTAACTCCTTCCCGCCCAGCTGGGAGCGGCCCCACGTCATGTACGGGCAGCTGCTGGACTGGCTGCGGTACCTGGTGGCCTGGCAGCCCGTCATCATCGGCCTGGTGCAGGGCATCAACTACATCCTGGGGCTGGAGTAGCGCAGCGGAGCCCCTCGGCTGCCCCTGCGGGGACGCGGGGCCGGGGCTCGTTTTTAAAGGCTCCTTTTCCCGCGTACGTAAAGGTTTCCATTGCTCCCGGCCCGGCCCCGCGCTCCCTCCCGCTGCCGCCCCAGGGCTGAGCCTCGGGAGCGGCCCCGCTGCGGCCAGGCCGGGATGCGGGGCCCGGCAGGAGCCGCTGCCCCGGGGGCTGGAGGGGCGCCGGGCGGAGCCGAGCCCCGGGGGCCCTTTTGCAGCTCCCGGTTTTGTACGTTCAGAACGGGCCCGGGGCCGCTGCTCTCCGTGTCCCGGCCCTGCGCCGGTGGCCCCGTGGGGGGCAGCGCGGGTGGGAGCCGCGCTCCCTGCGCCGCAGCCCCCGTGAGCCCGGGCACGGAGCCCCCAGCACCGGTGCGTGGGGGCACCCGCGGTGTCCCCGAGGGCGCCGGCTGGGGACGAGCCGTGGTTGGGACTCACCATGCTTGGGGACACCCCATGGTTGGGGTCACTCCATGGTTGGGGTCACACCATGGTTGGGGTCACTCCATGGTTGGGGTCACGCCGTGGTTGGGACTCACCATGGTTGGAGACACCCCATGGTTGGGTCATGCCGTGGTTGGGATCACACCATGGTTGGGGACACCCCATGGTTGGGTCACGCTGTGGTTGGGATCACTCCATGGTTGGGGTCATGCCATGGTTGGGGTCATGCCGTGGTTGGGACTCACCATGGTTGGAGACACCCCATGGTTGGGTCATGCCGTGGTTGGGGTCATGCCATGGTTGGGGTCATGCCGTGGTTGGGACTCACCATGGTTGGAGACACCCCATGGTTGGGTCATGCTGTGGTTGGGATCACACCATAGTTGGGGACACACCATGGTTGGGTCGTGCCATGGTTGGGATGACACCGTGGTTGGGGACACGCCGTGGTTGGCTGTGGACATGCGATGCGGCGTTGCCCTGGATGCGGGCAGGGGCCTCGCAGCGGGGCCTTGGGCTCTGGTTTGGGTGAAGCCGCGTCGGCGCCTGGTGCCAAACAGCGGAACACGAGTCCTGGACCCAGACTTGGCCGTGGGTGCTTCTTGTGGGCGCCGCAGCCCCAGTGGGGCTGGGGACACGGGGGATATGGGGGAGGTGTGCAATGGGGATGCGTGCGATGGGGCCACGTCACTGCGCTGTGGGGTGTCCCCACGCTGGGCTCTGCGGGTGCTGCCCCGCTGGGATGCGCCGGGAGCTGCCCCTGCCCATGGAGGGGCTGTGGGGCTTCCAGCCTCATCCCGGTGGAAGCTCCGAGCCTGGATGGGACCCGGTTCTGTGTGCCCGGGGTGTCCATGGGCATGGGGGGGACACAGGGGATGGGGGACGTGGACGTGGGCATAAGAGATGTGCACAGGGGGGGTGGGATGAGGGGCACAGGGAATGTGAGGATGTGGCACTGAGGACATGGGGGGCACGGGCAGGGGACGCTGGCTGTGGGGACGCGGGATGTGGCGCAAGGGATGGACACGGGATATCCCGTGGGAGGCACAGGGGACCCACGGGACGTGGCCCGGAGGATGTGGGCTCGCGGGACATGGCGCAGGGGACGTCACATGTGGGGCACAGGGGCAGTGGCCGTGGGGACGCGGCACGGGGGGAACCCCGGGGCGGTTCCGGTGCCGGTCCCGGCTGAGTCACACCGCGGCCGCTCCCGCCCGGCAGCAGCCGCTTAAAAGCGCCGCGGCCCCGAGCGCCGCTGCCCCCCTGCTGCTGCCCCACGGCCGCTGCCCCATGGCTGCGCTCCGTGAGGCCGGTACGGGCGGGAACTGGACCGGGACACCCCGCGAGGAGGAACCGGCCCGGTGCCGGCGGGGACCGACCCGGGACTCAGCGGAGCTGGACGGGACCATGGGCAGATCCGGGGGGCTGGGGATGGAGGGGGTGCTATGGGGGTGCAGGGAGATGCTGGGGGGTGGCTGAGGGAGGATGCTGAGGACATGCTGGCGGCTGTGGGGAGATGCTAAGGGGTGATGGGGGGGTAATACAGGGAGGATGCTCAGGGGGGTGATGGAGGGGTACCGGGGGGATACTGGGATATGGGATGGGCTGGGGGCTGTTCCTGGGGGGTTACCTGAGCTCGAGGGCCGCATCCCAACACTGAGCCCATCTCTGCCCCCCAGCCCGGCTCCTCCTGTCCCTGCTCTGCTGGGCCCTGACCTCCCGCTGCACCGGTACGAGGGGGCTCGGGGGGGGGGGGGGGCTTGGGGTCACCTCCTTTCTCTGCCCCCCCCCAAGGGCCCTGGGGGGCAGCGCTCACCCCCCCCCTCACCCCCCCCCAGGAGCCATGGCCCTGCAGCCCCCCAACATCACCCTCCTGCGACCCCCCCGGCCAGGTGGGTCCCGGGGATGGGGCGGGGAGGGGGCACCCCCCCCCCCCCGCGGAGCCCCCCCGACCCCGCGCGTGCCCGTGCCGCAGGTGAGAGCGTGACCGCGCGCTGCGAGGCGCTGAGCGCGCTCCCGGAGCTGACGCTGCTTTACTGGCTGGGGAACGGCTCCTTCGTGGAGCGGCTGCCGCCGGCCGGGGCCGCGAGAGAGGGGCCGCTGCGGTGAGCGGGGACCGGGCCGGGAGGGGAGGGGGCGGCCCGGGGCTGGGGGGGGTCCGGCCGGGGCTGAGCGCTCCCGGTTTGGTTGCAGGGAGCAGCCCCGCGGCGCGGGGGCGCTGCTGAGCCGGGACCTGCGCCTGGAGCCCTTCGGCGCGCAACACGCGCGCACCGCCTTCCGCTGCGTGCTGCTGAGCCCCGCGGGAGCGCGCAGCGCACACCTGCGCTGGCCCACTGCGCCTGCGCCCGCCAGGGGGTGATGCGCGTCCTCCTCACACACACCCCCCCCCCGGTGCCCCCCGGTGCTCCCCGGGGCTCGGGGACCCCCCGGGATTAAAGCGCGTTGAGGCTGCCCCGGGGCGCCCGTGTCCTGCGGCGGGGAGCGGGGAGGGCAGGAGAGGGACCGGGGGGGGGCAGAGCCCTGAGCACATCGCGTCCCCCTCCGCACCCACGCTGTCCCCTCAGGGCCCTGCTCTGGGGGTGCCGGGCTCCCACCCCCGCTCCCTTGGGTGCCATGGGGGCCGCTGGCAGCCACGGGGCACCCCCAGACCTGCACCACCCATGGGATGCTCCGGGTAAGGGGGCGCCGGGATGGAGGCGACCCCGGCTGCAGCTGCCCCCAGCGCAGGGCGCCGCAGGAACCCCGATCCCACAGCGAGCCTTTATTCCTCTGCGAGCCAGAGCACCGCGGCCCCCATCCCCGCCGGCCCGAGCTTCAGCCCCGGAGCCCCGCGCTGTATCCCCGGAGGGGCTGAGCCGGGCCTGGCACCTCCCCGTCCGGTCCCGGCGGCTCCGGGTCCCGGTCCCGGCTCCTCGCGGTTCAGGGGCGCCCCGCGGCCGCCAGCGCTGCCAGGAGGAGCCCCCAAGGGGCGCTGCTGCCGGGGGGGGCCCCGGCCGAGGTCGCTCCGCAGCCGTGGGGTCCGGGCTCGGCCGCGCGGAAGGAGCAAGGGGCGGAACCGCAGCGCTTCTCTGCGGGAGAAACCGCGCGTCAGCACCGGCACGGACCCGTGCGGCCCCGTCCCGACGGCCCCAGCCCTGCAACGGCCCCGTCCCGACGGCCCCAGCCCTGCAACGGCCCCGTCCCGACGGCCCCATCCCCACCAAGCCGCGCTGCGCTGTGCCGGAGTCATGGAATGGGTTGGGATGGGAGGGACCTCAAAGCTCATCTAAAGCCACAGGCAGGGACCCCTTCCATAGAGCAGCTTGCTCCAAGCCCCTGTGTCCAACCTGGCCTTGAGCACTGCCAGGGATGGGGCAGCCACAGCTTCTCTGGGCACCCTGTGCCAGCGCCTCAGCACCCTCCCAGGGAAGAGCTTCTGCCTAAGAGCTCAGCTCAGTCTCCCCTCTGGCAGGTTAAAGCCATTCCCCTTGGCCTGGCCCTACAGGCCCTTGTCCCAAGCCCCTCTCCAGCTTTCCTGCAGCCCCTTCAGGCACTGGAGCTGCTCTCAGGTCTCCCCTTCAGGAGCCTTCTCTTCTCCAGGCTGCCCCAGCCCAGCTCTCTCAGCCTGGCTCCAGGGCAGAGCTGCTCCAGCCCTCGCAGCAGCTCCGTGCCCTCCTCTGGACTCTCTCCAGCAGCTCCAGGTCCTTATGCTGAGGACAACAGAACTGTACACAGGGCTCCAGGGGGGTCTCTGGCCATGGTGTGCCATTCCATGCCATTCCAAGCCATTCCAAGCCATTCCATGCCACTCCAAGCCATTCCAAGCCACGCTTTGCCGCCGAGACAGGCACTGTTGTGCACCCGAAGCGCCCTCCCCACAGCCCCATGGCCGGCAGTGCCGGGGAGCACCCCCGCATCCCATGGGGTGTGCACCTTTCACCAGCTCGCAGTTGTAGGTGCTGTTGGTGCCCTGGGAGCGGAGCTGGATGAGGGACCCGCGCCCGGTGCGGGAGAAGCCGGTGACCTGGAAGACCTCGGAGGGCGGGATGAGGACCTCCTCCTCGGCGGGGTACGAGGAGAAGCGGCTGATGGGGACCCCGCAGCAGGTGCGCACCGTGAAGAAGGTGTCGCAGCCGAAGCCGCTGCCGTTGCGCAGGGAGCTGGAGGTGAAGTGCCCGAAGCGCACGCTCTGCCCGAGCCTCGCGGTGAAGCGCACGGCGCGCACGCCCCGGAACACGCGGCGGCAGCGGTCCCGGTCCCGGTCCCCGGCGGCCCGCAGGGTGCTCAGCGCCTGGCTCAGCAGGAAGTGCAGCGCCTTGAAGGGGAAGCCGTGCAGGTACCGCTGCCGTGAGCCCCCGGCCTCGCGCACGGCCGCGTTGAAGGCCGCGTACAGGGGCCCCTCCATGGTGTACGCCAGCAGCGCGACCGCGTGCTCCGGCCGCAGCCCCGCTGCCATCGGGACGCGCCGCTGCCTCCAGGCCTCGGCCGCCCGGCTCCAGGCCTCGGCGTAGAGGCCGTTGGTGCCGAACTCGGTGCGGTTGAGCTCCGGCAGCTCCCGCTCCATCAGGTGGCTGCAGCCCTCGTAGCGGTCGTCGAAGGAGGCGGGGGCCATGTCCATGGCCACCTCCTGGATGGAGGAGGACAGCGGCAGGGGGCTGCCCGCCGCCAGCAGCGCCAAGCCCAGCACCAGGCGCTCCATGGAGGGAAGGGGCCGCCCCACAAGCAGCAGCTGGAGGGGGGGGGCAAGAGCGGGGTCAGCCTGCGATGGGGCTGCCCCACAAGCAGCAGCTGGAGGGGGGGGGCAAGAGCGGGGTCAGCCTGCGATGGGGCTGCCCCACAAGCAGCAGCTGGAGGGGGGGGCAAGAGCGGGGTCAGCCTGCGATGGGGCTGCCCCACAAGCAGCAGCTGGAGGGGGGGGCAAGAGCGGGGTCAGCCTGCGATGGGGCTGCCCCACACCGCGGATCCCCCCGTTTGCCTCCCCAGCCACGGGCACCCCTCTTGGGACACCCCGAGGATGCGGGGTCCCCCATGGGAGCAGCTCCCCCGGACCCAGTTACGGCGTTACCTGGGTCGGGTGCAGGTCCCCGGCTCCCGCAGCTCCAGCCTGCGCCGGCCCCTGGGCACAGGGACAAGCGGCAGCTCCTGCTTTTTATAGCAGCCCCGGCCCGGATCCAGCCCCCTCCCTCCTCCCGGGTATTTTTACCTTCCCCCGGAGCACCCTTGACCCTGTCCATAAACTGCTTTTGCTTTTGCTCTCTGTGGTGCCGGAGCTCGGACCCCTCCTGCTGAGCTCATCCCTTCCGGCCCCGGACGTGGGGCTTGCACTGACCCCCAGCACCGCGCTGCTGAGCACGGGGCAGGTTGTGACGGGGGGCCCTGGAGCAGGCGCTGGCCTTGGAAAGGGCATTCCAGGAGGGTCCGGCCCGGCTGGAGGGGGACAGGGGGCAGGAGGAAGCGCAGGGGCAGGCGGCAGGGATGGGGACGTCCTCTTCCATCCCCGCTGCAGACGGAGAGGCTCCAGGCCAAGGAAACGGTCCCATTGCGGTGCCTGGGGACACAGGGATCAGGCTGAGGGGACAAATCCCAGGGGAGCCTGGAGTCCACCTGCAAAGGTCACAACCGGCTCCAGTGGAAGGGGTCCCTGCCCGTGGCAGGGTTGGAGCTGGAGGAGCTTTAAGGTCCCTTGATCCCGAACCAGGCTGGTCCCCATGGTTCTGCCATTCATGCCTCTTGTCTGGGGCCCTGAGCATGGTCTCCAGCCTGCCCATGGCTGGGCACAGGGGGTGAGCCTGGACCCTCTGTGCTCCATGGGCTCATCCTGACCCCCTGTGCCAGCTCCTCTTCAGCTCTGCGGCTCTTCCCTTCCACACCAGGATCCGGCAGGCTGGGATGGGTCGAGGTTTGTGTGCGTGCCTGAAGCGTCTGAGACGGTCTCTGCATCCCACCCCAGTGCTAAGTGTAGTAAATCGTGGGATCCCAGCCTCGTTTGGGTTGGAAGGGACCTTGAAGCTCCTCTACCCCAACCCCTGCCACGGGCAGGGCCACCTTCCCGTGGAGCAGCTTGCTCCCAGCCCCTGTGTCCACATGGGGCTGCCCCATTTGGCTGGGGGCTGCCGAGCTGATGCCGCAGCAGGAGGTTGGACCCGGATGATGTCCAGGTGCTTCCCAGCCCACCCCGCACCCTGGCTGTAGGGTTCCCTGCTCCGCAGGAGGGGAACCACAGCGCAGGAGCCGCCGTCCCCATGGGCTGGAGGAGGAGCTGCGGGGCCCGGCTGGCTCTGAGCAACGAAAGGAGCCTTCCCTCACTCTGCTGCTGGGGTGCGAAGCCCCCGCAAAGCCTCGGAGCCCCCGTTCCCATGGGATGGGGGGCACCGGGACCCGTTCAGCCGCGCTGGAGGAGCACGGAGCGGTCCCGCACTGCGAGCGGAACCGGCGCCGCCAGCACGGGCACAGCCCCGCGGCGGCCTCAGCCCCCCCGGCCCCATGGGCAGGGAGCCGCTCCGCGCCGTGCCCGCCTCCCCTCGCAGCCCCCGGGCAGGGGAAGCGCAGACGCTGCTGCCCCTGACGGGCTCTGCCAGGCTCAGTCCCAGGCGGGCCTTGGCATCCCTGCATCCCCCCATGGAGCCCCCGCACCCTCCCTGTCCCTTACTCCACATCCCATCAATTCCCTTCAGCTTACGATGTACAAGGAGCTCCCTGCTCGCCCCTGCAGGGCTCCTGCCCCCTTTGCCTGGTTTCTTCACCATGGGCTTGGCCTTGGAGGAGCCAACAAGGGATGGGACAAGAGGAACCGGCCTCAAGCTGCACCAGGGCAGGTTTAGATGGAGCTGAGGAACAATTCCTGCCCCAGAGGGTGCTCAGGCATTGGAAGAGGCTGCCCAGGGCAGGGCTGCAGGCACCGGCCCTGCAAGGGTTCACACCCCGTGGAGAGGAGGCCTCGGTGGGTACCGGGTGCGTGCTGAGCAGGGGCCGCAGGCACCTCCTGGAGCACACAGTGGGGAGGGGGGGCACGGACACAGGGGCTGGGCTCGTGTCACAGGGAAACCGATGGAGAAGGAGGAAAAGGACAGATCCGAGCCAGGGGCTTCCTCCAAAAGGCCCCGTCCCCATCGTCCCCCCCCGAAGCACGGCACGGCTCTGTGGGGGTTAACGGGGCACCCCCGCACCGGAGGGACGGCCCCCGCCGCAGCGGTAAAGAGCACCAGCAGCATCACCTCCAGGACAAGCTGCGGTGGCGGCCGGAGGTGGCTGCACCCTGCAGGGCACCAGGAGCCCTTCCGTCGGCCTGGCCCGGTCTCCAGGAGGTGTTGCCGGCCAGGGCCGTGGGTCAGGGATGCTGCTCGGGGGCTGCCCGGCCCAGTGGGTCCCGCTGGCTCCTTT